TTGTCATCCTTCCCTAATAGGAAGTACAAAGTCTGCGCCCTCACCTCCCAAGAAAACCAGCCAAAGGTCTAATGAATCACTTGGTTTCTGTCCAGAGCAGTCATGAACTTCCATCCTGTCATCTCTGGTGTAGGTATGCATCTCTGTAACTGCTTCTAGAGAGCAGAATCTTTTGCCCACTTAGGATAAATCATACTGTTGTTAAAATGGCACAGATGGAGGATGATCATCAGATTGGCAAGGGAATTTCCCTATCTAGAAGTTTGTAACAACCAAGGCACTGTTCTGAAGCTGCTGTTTTTGAACCTGCTTCCCTACACTTGGCTTGCAATCACCTGATAGGTGGAATAGAGAGAGATGATTCTCCTTCATTAATATGCAATAAAGTAGAAGACTGCTTATTGCCTGACTTATCATGCAATTTGCTCAGCATGTTTACTACCAATTCCCAAGGGTTTTCCTCAAATCTAACCCATCAGACCACAAGGTTCTTGTCATTCATCTTTCTGAAAGTCATTTCTGTCAGTGTTCCATATTGTGCCCAAAGCTATCAAGAACATAGCCTACTTGTAAGCTAACAAGTTAGCCTGAGTAGTAGCCTGGATGCTGATAGAAGACGAGCACCTCCTGAGTCAAAGGACAGTTTATAAATGAGAGTAATTGCAGCAGTTACAGTATAAACATTTCTGTATCAGCTTCTCAATACCTAAATCCCACAAGGTAAGAAGACGGCTAGATAAGAACTGCAAATGCAATGGCTTATGATATAGGAAACTCCAGAATTCTGAATCTCAGCAAGAGGTGTAGAAATGTGAGAGACTTATGAGAATTTCCACCCCATGATAATGGAAAGACCTCGGGGATGGTGTTCACCAAATACTACCTATTAACCCTGGCTATTTCTGAAGAAGAATTATAGGCTCCTCCTTACTTGCATTGGGGGGAGGGTTAATTGAAATTTAATAATAAGCATGGGTCATTTTCAACTCTATTTCATTTTATTGAGGTAACATTACAACACTGTATATGATTCAGAGGTATAGGGTCACACCTCTTCAAATGTATGTTTCCACACCACACCCATAGTTCTCCACTTAGTCCACTGGACCCCCTCCCACTTTGCTCTCCACCTTTCCTCTGGCCCATCTGTAGCCTCGATTCTACAGTCACATGTTTTCTTTTGTTTTGTTTCTTTATATTCCATATGAGCGAAACCATCCGGTATTTGTCTCTCTCTTTCTGACTGACTGACTGACTTAGCTTAATATCCTCCATTTCCACCCTTCTTGTCACAAATGGCAACAGTTCATTTTTTTTTATAGATGTCAACTCTTATACTTTCAAAAAATGCAATATGAACACTGAGATAAAGAAAATTTGAGTTTTGACAAAGTCCCTGTGAAATGAGAGGTAAAAATAGAGGAAAATCTGTATGCATACTAGAAAACTGGGAAAATTACTAAACTTAGCAAGGAATTACAACTCCTTTAAAATGGTCCAACTAAGGAAGCTTTAATGTAAACGAAAGGTGTGTTTACAAATGAGAAACCAATAAGTGATGCTGAGGGCAAGTGAGATGTCAACATTCCAGTCAGAGCCAGGGGTAGCTGAAGACATGGATGGAAGTGGGGCCACCCAGCAGGATTACAAATGTGAAGGAAAACCCATTGTCAGAATCATACCACCAAAACAAGAAGAAAGTAGGCCAGAAAACCCCCACAGTTTATCTCCCCTCTAGCAGATCATATTTCATTTGTTGGCGTGGCCTAACTAGAATTCAGCCAGAGGGAGAGCCTAGTGAGGCAGTACATAGGGGTCATGATGAAGGAAGGAGGGGAGCAAACTGGGGTGCTGGGGCAGGGACAGCATATGTTACTGTCCACAGTCCAAAAACGTTTCTACAAGATATACACTAGATGAAGAAAAACTGAAGGGCTGACCAATCTGTAATTTTTCATATTTACATAAAAGCCTGACTTAAAAGCAGACTGAAGCCTGTACCTCCCAGTGGAAACACAACTCCTCAAGCTCAGAGCACCTACAATTACTCTGGGTGTCCATCTTAGTTAGAGTGCTGGTTCAGTGAATATGGAAATACTGTCAAAATTCAGTGATGCTCTTTGCTATGTATTGCTTCAAGTGATGTATTTTTTCTTCCTATTCTTCACAGACAAATGAAAACCCAAGTGACATTAAATTACTGGAGACAAATGAAAACCCAAGTGACATTAAAAATTACTGGAGATATATAATGATTACTTTCCCTCTGTTTAGCACCGATTTACTTTTTCCCTATCATCATCCCTTCTACATCTTCAAACTATTCTCCTGTCCTACCCTCTAAACCTGTGAAGCCTCACTTTATTAGTGTCCACTAGTTCGTCTAAGTATTTTTCTTTGTCAAGTTTGTCCACTGAATAAATGTCCAGTATTTGTGTCATTTTGACTTGCTTTACTACACAGATTTCCTTCAAACTCCTTTCATTTTCTTATGACTGAATAATATTCCATTGTGTGGCTATGCCATGTCTTCTTAATCCAAACCTTTATCACTGGGTACTTAGGTTGTTTCCACGTCCTAGCTATGTAAACAATGCTGCAATAACAGGGTAGAGCATAAGTTTTTGAGTTAATGGTTTCATGTTCTCGAAATAAATGCCCAAAAGTGGGATTGCTAGGTCATATGATTATTCCATTTTTATTGTATTAAGATAAATTCAGATTGCTTTCCAAAATGGCTGCACCACCTAACATTCTCACAAACAATGTAATAGGATACCTCTTTCTCTGAATCCTCTCTAGCAGCTGTTGTTGTTTTTGAACATGTGTCATTCTCACAAGTGTGAGATGATGTTATCTTATTGTGGTGTTGACCTGCAGCTTCCTTAATAAAAGCAATGGTGAATATGTCTTATTTGGTAATTGTTGGTGCATACCTGTTGATCATTCATTAATTGGGTTGCCCCATTTTTTTTATCTTGATAAATTGACTTTATATCCCTCTGCAAATAAGTTGGATATAATCCTAGTTTTTTTACCCAGGAATTTCAGGTCTTTATTATTTCCTAGACCAGTACCTTTGTACCTGTAAAGATGTTCATGGCACTGGTGCCCATAAAGGGTAGTAGACAGGAAGGGATTGGCATGGCAGGGCACTAAAAGGTCACCACCAGTCAGCCTCAAGGGTCAGGCTTCCCAAAGTGGTGTGAGTACCTTAGGTGTGTGGAGGGGATTCACAGTGATTCCTCCCCAGGTCAACTCCCCAACCCCTTAGCCAAAAACACAGCAGTGTCAATGCAGCCTATCTCTATATTGTGGTTAAGCTATAGATGTTGCACTGGATGGGGACTATCATTAAGACTGATGGGCCTCCCTGGTGGCACAATGGGTTAAGCGTAGCACTGTGAAGCTGTCCACAGCCCAGCCAGGGAGATACCACATGGCACAGCAGACCTCTCCTGTCTCGCCATCTGCTCCCCTCAGCAGTGTTTTTGCTCTGTCTGCCTGTTCTGTTCTCTGCTCTGTCTCTGGTGAATTCTCTCATCCTCCCGTGCCTCTGGTCTGTACCCCGGTTCTTGTATAAATAAATAAAATAAATCTTTAAAAAAATAAAAATACTGAGCCACCAGCTGGGAGTTGTTCTTTTTGTTTTCAGAGCATGAAGACTTACCCTGGGTCACTGGCTCCTGCAGTTAAGATCCAGATGCTTCGAACTCTGGTTAGAGAGGACACTCATTTGCTATCTCAGTTTTGGGTGGGGATAAGGCAGGTATTTAAAATATCACAACCTCACGCTTCAAATAATAGCCCTCTTCTGTGAGGAGAAAGAGGTGACAGCTATTCCCATCAAGGTATCATATGTGTAAGTGAGCTACTGTCAGTGTACCAGTCCAGTCAAGCTCTAGATGACTATAGGCTCAGCTAAAATCAACTGTAGCGAACAACTGCCTAGCAAAGTACAGCCGACCCACATAATATTGAGAGATAATAACATGGTTAGTTTTAAAGTTTTGGAGTGGTTTGTTATGCAGCAATAAATAACTCAATTATCAAGGGAAAGTAAATATTGTGGAAGACCAATAAAGAAATTCAAAGAAAAACTACATACTGTTAAAAGTAAGTGCCATAAATATACAAATAATTAATATCGTTATAGTAAAAACAGCTCATTATGAAACCTAAATAACACCAAGTCCTCAATAGACTACAAATGGACAAAGGATGTGATTTGTGTCTACTCATAGAAGGGAAAAATCAAAATCACTGATAAGCATGAAACATTTTAATCATTGCTTTAGAAATTAATACTCAAATACCAAATTAGAGAGATGAAAAGTGGCACAATCTTTCTGGAGAGCAACTTGTCAATGTCATTTGTATAAATATATGAGAAATGACTAACAGATGCGAATAGTTAAGTAAAAGATATAATTTCAAACATAATGTCTAACAATGTAGAAATTGTTTAAAAGGATTACTGCATATTCATATTTAAGGATATTCTGCATTTGCAATTTTTTAAATAATTTAGGTAATATGCTCATAATGTTAACTTCTAAAAAACAAAATATGAAATTACAGAGTCAATCTAAGGTTTTAAAATAAACAAAACATGTCTCTATACACAAAACAAAGACTAAGAAGAAATCAATTGTAAATGTGGCAGTAGAATTACAACTATTTTTATTTTCTCTTTCATGCTTTTATTTCTATAGTGACTATATACTTTCACAATCAGTAAAAGCAAGAAATCTTATTCTTTTTAAAGTTACATGGGTCAGGCTATTGATCTAGGTAATCAAGAATTATTCCCTAGCTATAGTGAATAAAAATACATTTTTAATAAAATTGTATTTAATAAAATGAAACCTTTTGAAATGTGGAGGGGAATTTAGAAGTTACCTAGTTTGATCTACCATTAAGAAGATGAGGAAATAGGTGCCAAGAGGATGTAGGTGCTCAATTTTAAAGCTTTTTAGAGGCAGAGACTTATTTTAGACCTCAAACTCTTCACCTACTCTCCAGGATACATGGTGACACTACCTGAGATACCGCTAACAGTGATTCAGCCAAGATGTCAGGATGCGAGTAGAATAGCTGCCATTTTTGAGAAAGTTTCATTCTGGTATACCTTTAAATTTATATTTGTGTCATTCTCATTAGAACTCTGCGGACTGTAAACAGGGGAGACATGCTATTTCCTGTAAGATTACAGTTTTATTTAAAATTTCCACTAATAGTGCCTATCCTTCACAAACTCTTCCAAAAATTGAGAGGAAGGGACA